AGCATACAAAAACGGGACAGATGGAGCATGCAAGTGACAGGCTGGCAGCTCCTAGGGACCCAAAGGCATCAGCATTTCCCCCTTTTTGCCCCCTATCCCATCACCACTCCGGGTTTCTCAGATGGGCCTTTAAATGGACTTAATGTGTAAATGGGAAGAACTGTAGTTTTTAATCTTTCCTTCCCACCATACTTATTTTTTTTAATTATTGAGGCGCAGCAAAATGTGTTCATTTTACTCTGGGTATATATGCATGTAAGCAGATCTGATAATTTGTTGCATATGTATACATAATACCGTTTGCAATTTTAAGCAAAACTGGGAAAGAGAGAGAGACAAAGTGGTTGTGTATGCGCACACACACTTCCCTTATTAGGGGAAAGACCAACAGTGTTATTAAGTGATCAAAGGGATCCCTTACTTCACAACTATTTTAGGAACTATACTCTTAGCACCTATTAATACAACTAATAGAATGTGTTAGGACCTCAACAAATGAGAGAAATTTACTCTGTCTTCCATAAAAGGAAACGTGTGAATAAAAATGGGAAAGAGGGGACCAGCAGATGGCATAATGGTTATGTTGCTGGACTCCCATGTAGTTGATCGCAGTTTGAGTCCCAGACCTGGCAGCTTAAAAATCACGCCGGGTGCATGTGCGTACATGCCCAAAGTCCCAAGAAGAGAATGGAGGAGAAGGGACAGTGGTGTGGCCATCCTCTGGGGGGTGATTTCTCACTTTCCTTCTCTCTGACAAGCAAACCCAAAAATCTCTCTCTAAAAACAAACAAAGAAACAAACAAAAAAACTGGAAAAGAGGGCCATGAAAAAAAAAAATATATATATATATATACACACATCCCATAAAATTATACATGTCTGTGTCACATATGGGTTTGTACCAGGCTAAATCAAGCACAAGTAATCCCCTGGACAGACTCTGGTGGGAAATATTATGATTCCCAGTTTACAGATATGGAAACCACAGCACCTAAGTTACATAACTGGTTTGAAGCCTGGGTGCCTTAACCACAGTTAGGGCTGAGTTTAAACACAAGTGTGCAGACTCCAAACCTGAGTAAAATCTCACTCTATACTACCTACCTAAAAAGTATGTGTTTGTGAATGTAAATATTGGGTCGTAGGAAAAGTCACAGCGTATAAAAATACCTCATGACTTTTCCAACGACCCAATATAAGAACAAAGAAGTGTAGGCATAGGAAGTTAGACATAGTTGAGGCTAGATTAGAATGTTTCCAAAGATGCTATAAATTCTGAGGTTTCAGGGAAGGTGGGACCATCATCTTCAGACTTCACAGTTTCTATGCTCTCCACCCTGTGAACACAAGAGGACACTGTTTCTCCTTGGACCCAAGACCTCGGACAGACGGAAACATTCTTCTACATAGTCCATCAACCTATCTCCATTTTTTCTCTGTCCAACTGCTTCGCCTTCTTTTTGTTCAGAGAGAGGAGGTTGTTAAGATGGGGTCAAGGTGAGCTGCAGTGGCCCAGTGGTAGGGTACCACTGTGCAATATTGGAGCCCTATGGGAACCCTGGTTTGGATCCTGGTTGATCTGAACACATGGGTGTGTCTGCATGTGCCCCTGATCCTGGCTGACCAGCAAGCTGGGAGGAGGATCCCAGCATATTGAAACATTGCTGAGGTACCTACCTGTTCCTCCCTCCCTTCCTCTCTCCTTCCATCTCTCATTTCCCCTCCCTTCTACCCTCAATAAACAAATAACACACACTTAAAAAAAAAAAAAAAAGAAAAGATGGGGACCAAAAGAATCCTTGATCAAGACCAGCAGATGGCATAATGGTTTTATCACTGGACTCCCACATAGTCGACTGCAGTTCAAGTCCCAGACCTGGCAGCTTCAAACTCATGCCAGAAGCGTGTGCATACAGGTGTGCCCAAAATTCCAAGAGAAAAATGGAGGAGAAGGGATTGTGGAGTGGCCATCCTGCCTGGGGGTGATTTCTTGCTTACTGTCTCTCTGTTTCTCTGGCAAGCACACACACCCTGTAGAAAAATCTCTCTTAAAAGAGTCCTTGATCAAGATTCTAGGTTAGAAAATATAAGTAACTTCCTACTGAGAGCTAACCTAAGTACTATGCAATACAAACATGGTGTTTCAGACTACTAAAGGCTTTCCCCTTTGTGTAAATAGTAGCATCATACACCAAATTTCAGGCCTAAATCTTAGAGTTAATCTTGATTCCTCTCCTCCCCTCACTCCTCTAAATCTAAACCTCCAGCAAGGCCAACTGGTCTTACTAACTCAACCCCAGTACACCCTCTGCCCAACACTCTCTCTCTTCTTCCACTCTGTCCCAGTGGCCATCACTCACCTCAGAACATACCATACCAGCCTCAGAACTCATCTCTCATTCTTTCACTTCTCCAATTACCTACAGAGCAACCACAGTGGTTTGGCAAAAACATAAATCACCACCTGCCTAAAACCTCCCCAAGGCTTCCCTGTGTGCTCTGAAACGGACTCGAACTCCTTACGAGAACTGTAGAGCCTGGCGTGATCAGGATCCTCCCCAGCTCTCTGACTTCATCTCCCACCATGCAACCACGCCAAGCTTGTTCCCTCCTCAGGCACTTGTCCTGCCTACTCCTAGCTCCAACACTCCCTTCTAAATTTCCACAGAGATGCTTCCTCCTTGCTCATCGGATCACAGTGGAAATATAGCCTCCTCAGCAAGATTTTTCTTGATCACTAAATCTAAAACAGCTCCTCACCCTGAACTTCACTAACATGTCATCTTGCTTGTTTTCTTGGTAGTAATTATCACTATGCAAAATTATCTTCATTTGATTACTCACTGCTTGTGTTCCTCTTCTCTCCAAGAACAAAGACCTTGTCTATCTTGCGTACAGCAGTTTCCTCAGTACCCCATAAGCACCGTGCCCACAGTAAATGTGTGTTAAATGAATTACTGCTAGTCCTAATTTAGCAACACACAGGAAATAAATCCAACATGTGAATAACATCATCCAGGCTCTTCATCTGAGCAGTTCTGTGAGTGATTTTTGGCACATGGGAATATTAGGTCACTTTGTTTCTAATTCGACAGCATTTTTCAGATCATAAAGATAATATATGTAAGTAAGCATATTTTATTTTTAGAAATGAGCCAGGTGAAAAAGAACATAGATGCTCAATGGGGTAAGGGAAAGACATAGATGCCAAAACATTATTTTAGAAAAGGTACTAAATGTGATGGGAAGGAGATTTTTCCATAGCTCAGAAGAATCTTCACCTTAGAAGTCACCTTAGAAAGAAGTAGTTGGCATATCAATGTAGGAATTTCACTGCTCTCAAGAGGTGGTAATGAGAAAAAGAGGGCAGGGACCAACAGTTAGCATAATGGCTATGTCGCTGGACTCCCACGTAGTCGACCATGGTTCGTGTCCCGGATCCGGTGGCTTAAAACTCATGCCGGGCACGTGTGCGTGCGTGCCCAAGATTTTGAGAGGAGAATGGAGGAGAAGGGATTGTGGCGTGGCCATCCCCTCTGGGGGGTGATTTCTCGCTTTCTGTCTCTCTGTCTCTCCCTGTCTGGAGAGTGCATGCACCCTATAGCAAAAAACCTCTCCAAAAGAAAGAATGAAAGAAAGAAAGAAAGAAAGAAAGAAAGAAAGAAAGAAAGAAAAAGAGGGCAAAGGAGATGGAGAGGGTGCTGATGGTAAATATAAGGGAGAGGAAGAGGATTCACATTGTGCAGTGCAGCCTTAGTGGAGAGGAAAGGTGGGAGCCAGGCTGAGGATGGTACTACTGACTGTTCTGGAGAAAGGGCTCAGGTTGTGGGCAGGGAGGATGGCAGGGGGAGCTGACAGAACCTTCTTCTCATCCTAGGATATACTGGGGAAAGAAAGTAGCTTAGGTGAAGCTGGGGGCTCAAGACAGTTTATCAAAAATGTGATTATTTACACCTCCCCTCCCTACTGCTAAGAGACCAGGAAACCACTTATGGTATCATTAGTGGAAATGTATCATTATCCACAACCAGGGTTCTTTTTTTTAAAAAAGAATTATTTTATTTAACTTTATTTATTTATATATTTATTTTAATTTGACCAGAGAAGGTAAGAGTGCATGAGGAAGAGAGAGGAAAGTGAGAAAGCAAGCTGGCAGGTCCAGGACTCGAACTGCGGTCAGCCACGTGGGAATCCAGTGCCCTTAAGCACCATGCCACTTGCCAGTCCCCACATCCAGGGTTCTTGATATGGCCTGTGGAGGTTTCTTAAGCCCTTGGAATGATATGCAAAATTGTATGCAAAAATCTGTCATAAAAACTATCATCCACGAATTTTGCTTTTCTGAAATTCTACTTAAGGAATGTACAACTCATAGAAACTCCTGAACAGTTTTTTCTTTCCTATTAAGGAGGGAAAAAAAAAAAAAAAAACTATGTGGTTGGATCTCACTCCATGGAGAAGGACCAACCAAGCCTTTCTCTGGAAGAGCTCCCACAGGATAATAACTGCCAGTCTACTCAAGCGCCAAAGTTGGAAAAAATTATTTCTCTGACTACTTCAAACTCTACTTTTTACAGATACAAGGATAGTCCATGCAATTCAGCATGGTATAGAGTGGCAGTGATGAAGAACTAGAGACTGTGCATCCAGGATTTAGCTACTTCCAGAACCTTGGAGGCACTGGTCTTGCTCCCAATACAGGCATGGACCAAGCAGTTCTCTCCAATGATGTCTGGGGAGTCCCTGCAAGTCACCCAGTTCCCTGTCCCTCTATTCTCCATCCACTATCCCTGTACATAGAAACTCCCACACTCACTGACAGGGGCAGCATGACTCACCACATGCTCGCTGATGTCCCGGTAGAAGCCAGAGGCCTGCTGGCTTTGATAGAATTCTAACTGCTTTTCCGCCAGTTCTACCCGTTGCAACAGATTCTCGATAAAGTCTTGGAGCCGAGCTTTCCCTTGAACCTCTTTCTCAGCTGCTGCTTCCAGGAAATGGTTGAATGTAACAACTTCTCTACAAGGCAAAAATGTCAGAACACAAATGGAGAAATGAGATAGTAATTCATTCATTGAACACATTTATCAGGTGGCCTACAAAGTGTCATTTAATGTCCTAGGCAGTATGGCCATGACAATGATGAAAGACAAAATTACATAGTAGTGATTACGTTTAGAGAACACATGTTAGTGGAGGGAGATAGTCACTATAAAATATACACATAAATAATATGTCAGGTGGTGATACATGCTAAGGAAATGGAAACTGAGTACAAGAGTTCAGAGTGACAGAAGAAAGGAAGGGCTGGATGATATTTAAAAAAAAAAAAAAAAAAGTGAGGATGACCTTTTGGATGGGTAACACTTGAACAGTGACCTGAAGGAAGCATGATAAATAAACCACACAGCTATCCATGTAGATCAAACCAAGTCAACCAGAAACATGCAGATGGATATGAGATATAGCATAGAGGTCCACATGGAGGAGGGAGTTAGGTAAGGCCTCACAAAGTTCTGAATTTTATTACAAAGAAGATAGGAAACCACTGGATACTTGTGAGACAAGTTCTAACTTAAATATTAAGTCTTGCTGTTGTTGGGACCAGCAGTTGGTGTAATGGCTATGTAGCTGGACTCCCATGTAGTCGACTGCAGTTTCAGTCCAGGACCCAGTAGCTTAAAACTCATGCTGGGTGTGTGAACGTGCGTGCCCAAGATCCTGAGAAAAGAATGGAGGAGAAGGGATTGTGGCATGGCCATTCCCCCTGGCCATGCCACAGTCATTTCCTTCTCTTCACTTTCCCAACCTCCACTAAGTTCCCTAGCTTCTTAAGAGAAGAAATTCAGGGAAATCTAACTCAGAAAGTCAGTTTTACAGAGATCTTTGCACAATAGCTGGTAGTAGCTTCCAGTGCCTTTCTCCCTTTCTGTCTCTGTCTCTCTCTGTCTTTCTGGAAAGCACACATGCCCTATAGCAAAAACTTCTCAAAAAAAAAAAAGTCTAGCTGTTGGAGGAAGAGAAGTCTTTAGAGAGGTAAGGTAAGAGATAAGATATGGCAGTAAGGGGTCAGAAAGAAGCAGAGCAGTGTACAAAATGAATCACCTTATTCCATAGTACCCTTTTGAACTAAGGACCAAACAGTCCAAGTGGCCACCTTGAGTCTGACCCAAGGTTTACTGGGAAGCTAATGTAGCACCAACACAGCAGAAGCAATGGGCAGGTTGCCCTCTCCTAATGAGCTGAGCAAAAACGTCAAACAATACTCCTTTGTCTACATAATTCACTGTAGGTTCACAAATCTGAGCAATTTCTAGTAACTTTATTATCATTTTATACTTTCCTTTTACTTATTTTATTTTTGAATTAATGTATTTATTAGCCTTGGTGCTGTGGTTTACTGTTTAATGGAATTTATTTTTCTCTTACATTTTTTAAAATTTGCATTTAATCACTGTACAGCTTTACCATGTATGACATGGTTTTTCCCACCATGAATACAGTGCATATTAGTCAAGTCAAAGTTATTACCATACACACTATCATCAACAGTTATTATTTCACTTTATGCCTTTTATTTTGAATAAGAGTAAGAAAATAACATTTTTCTGATTTATAAACAATAAAAACTATTAAAAAGTCAAACAACCTATTAAAAACAAAGAAGGAAATATCACCTGAAACTACACTGTCCTAAGACTACCACTGCTAACACTTTGGTAGCTACCCTCGAGAGCATCTCTTTAAGAATACATGCATGTGCATGCATGCACACAACAGTTTTCTCCTTTTCTTACTTTAATCTCCCATTTTGATTCTGCCTCCCATGTCCTATTCTCAAGGCTAAGCACCAGGTAATTGGCACTACCGATCAGCATGTGTTATGGCAGCTCTATTCACTTAAAAATAAATCACCATGTTCTCTTTAGTCATCCCTATTGTATGTTCTGAGAAAAGTCCTGGGTTCACATTCCAGGACCTCCCTGAGACTTCTGGGCACATGTAGTGCCTGTGATCCAGGATGTCTGAAGCTGGGGTGGATCATAGCATAAAGACCCTGTTGGAGATGACTACCCCCATGCCTTCTTTTTCTCTGAAGATAAAAACACGTAAACAAAATGAACAAAAAACCTTTCTTGACCTTCAAGGAGTGACCCTCACTGTTCTGGCCATGTTCAATTTATACAAAGTCAATATTCTAAAGATTGGTCATGTTTCATTTATCTTCTTTCAATATTGATTAATGAACCATAACTTTTATATCTAATCTCATTCAGTTGTTTTAGATAGTTAAATTCATTTCCTTCTCTTCACTTTCCCAACCTCCACTTGATGTTACTTTCCACTAAGTTTCATAGCTTCTTAAGAGAAGAACTTCAGGGAAATCTAGCTCAGAAAGTCAGTTTTACAGAGATCTTCACACAATAGCTGATAGTAGCTTCCAGTGCCTTTATAAACCATGTTATTAGTCCATACGCCACTTTTACAACTAGTCATATCTTCTCTTTTACAAATATATTACATCATATGTGGTCACACAGAAATGTTTTTGACAATTTCTATAAAGTCACACATGTCTCAATACCTTGAGAATTATATATTTGTAAAAACAGAAAACAGACTGGCTCTACCAATGGCTTGCTCAAAGAACTTCTTGTAATACAGTCTCCTTTTTTCTAGTTTCCTATTTAAGATCCAACATAACCTCAAACTTATAATTCTACTATCTTTCAGTAGCTGAGAAATACCAACCCAAGAGAAATGAGTCTTTTGGGAAGAGTTATCATTCATTATCAAGTTTCAAATGTATTTCCAGATGCTTTTTATGAGTCCTCAACAGAAGACATGTATTTTCCAAGGTCCTAGTTATTTAGGCTATGAACACAAGCCAGTTTTCAAACTCTGCTATCATTTGATTTGATCAGTCTCTTAAGTGAGCCACAAACTTTAATGAGCAGCTGAGAGAGGAAGGTCCATGCTACCCCCATCCTTTCATGATTCCTAGTTATGGTTTGTATCTTAGCGATGGAATATCATAGCTCAAAGCCACTGGGAACAAAACTCAGGAAAATGGCCACTGTTCCCTCTTTCCAACATTAAGGCTTCAAATCATGTTGAGTCAAGCCCATCACAAAGATTTTCTGGTAATATTTGGGATAAATTCGGAAATAGTCTCTAAACTGTACTTGCTGAGAAAATTATCAAAAACAAAACAACAACAAAAGGCCAATCATTTTTTTCCAATTCACTTTGGTTTATAATGTTTATTATATTTATCTTATTAGAGAAATATTTCACATTTATTATGAAAAAATATGAAAATTGACCTATTAGAGGATTTAGTTGGGCAGGAGATGAAGCAGCTTTTGTTCTGCTCATAAATTAGCACTCAACACAATACTTAGCACATATCATTCAATAACTATTTGTTATAATCAATGCTTACAAAGGACAAGGAAGAAGCACAAAATAACCTGTAGTTCTACCACCGAGAGTTAACTACTGTCAACATCCTGGTATATTTTGTCCAGTATTTTTATTCTGCGCATAGCTACTCTTCTTGGGCTCTTGGGCTATACAGTCTGGCATTTAAGGAGACAGCAACATTTGACAGCTTAATCTCACAGGATCAACTTCACAAAAGCAAGAGAACAAATCTCAATGCAACATAGCATATGACTGTAGCTATTACTGTTAAATTACATAAGGTTTTGCTACTGGTTCCATATCAAGCTTTAAAAGATTAATATCAATGCTCTTAGCTAATCGTAAAGTTAGTTATGCCACACTGTAGAAGTGAAGGATCTTTTTCTAACCTCCTTCATCCAATTATCTTATGCCCTCAAGCTGAGAAGTTTATACTCTTTTTATTTTCCAACCAACCTGGCAGCAATGCTAACCTAATTTCAGTGTGCAGATGCATCACATCAATTAGGGGGAAAAAAAAAGATAATGAAAACAAGGTTTAGTAGAATTTTCTTTTAAAAGAAAAGTTAAACAGGAGAAAGGCTAGAGAAATTTGTCTTACTGTGATTGTGTAGGATACCTTTATTAGATGAAAACAGTATCAAAACCAAGTGACTAATGGTAAAATAATATGTGTGCACATCTCAAATCCTCTTTTGATGTCCTGTTCAGTGTGGTGAACAACCACCTCTTATCTCCCCAAGGAACCTAGGGAATTTTCTGAATGGAAAAGAAAGATGTTAACTGCATTGCTTTTATAATCTCTTTAATAATCACACTCCAAACACTAAAAAATCCATTTGAAGTATGAGATCAATCAACAGATTTCAATGAAAAAAAAATGAAATGTTTGTTGATATGGTTCCAGATCCCAAATTGCAATTAACTTTAAGAAACTACCAACTGTTGGGGTTCTACCATAGAATTAAAGCAGAATATCGACTATTACCTGAAAAGACCATTATAATTACTCCATTGTGTTCCCACTATACAATTTTGTCAGGTTGGATGTTCTTTATCTTCTGCAATGAAAACAACAAATCTGCAACAGACTGAAAGTACAACTACTGAAGACCAGCTGCCTTCTATGAAGTCAGGTATTAAATTGTCTGCAAAACTTTTAAAACAACACCACCCTTTCCACTGAATTGTTTCTGGGAAAATAGTTGCTTTTCATAAAATTATGTTATGTTAACGTGTAATGGGTACTCCCATGCAGTGGGAGAGGCAGACATTAAAGCAAGCAAATACTGAAATAAATACATCATTACAAAGCTGAGATGAATGTGACTAAGAAAAAGAATCACGTGATGTTATCAGACAGAACAGTAAAAGACTTATGTGGTTTTATTTTAGATTTGCAGTCCTGTGACTCACTGCAGTGTGAAAGCTGGAAGGCCAGACGCGAAGATAAGTGCAAACCTGAGAGAGGTTCAGTCAGGGTGTAGGTACAGGCCAGGTTTGAAGAAATCAGCTTTAACTGTTTCCAGATCACTTCCAGCCCCATCTTTGACTTTTTATTTTAACACACATAAAAAGGTTAAATATGATTA